GGTGAGGACAAGCTGAAGGGCGGGCCTTCCAGCCACAGCTTTCTCCAGGGACAGCCACCTTTGCAGGCTGTGGGCTTCGCACCACAAGCAGTGACAGAACCTGTCATGTGACTGTGCAGACACCCCTGACCCTCCGAGAATACCGGAGTCAGCCCTGGACTTCTGGCCCCCACGTTCTCACCCACGAGCACCGGGGCCCGGATGAACATGACTTCCGCCAGGAGGCTGGCCAGGGGGGTGTGCCGCTGTGGCCTTTGGGGCCGTGACTGGGGCAGGGAGCAGGCCACTTCCCTTCAGAGCCCCCGTGAGGCTCCCTTGCCTGGCTGAAGGCTGTGGTAGCCCACAGAGGGGTTGACTGTGTGGGCGATGCTTAGGGGCAGTTGCTGAGGGCATGGAGGTGCCTCTGTGGGGCGTGTCAATGGGGGAGACCATCCGTCAGGGGTTCTGACGTGTGCTATACTCCTGGTGTGCTCCAGGGTACAGCCGGTGCACAGACGTGCTGTCCCAGGACCCCATGCGGCTACCCTGGCCTGGTGGCCTCGGGCATGTCAGCGTGGCGGGTGCTGAAGCTAAGTGGGGTGCATGTGCCCGTGCGCTGACTGGCCGTGTGCAGGCCAGCGGTGGGACATTGGAGCCTTGAGCCCTCGAACCATGGCCTCCATCTCTGGACGGGGCCAGTTCTCCTGCTGCAAAGCTCTTAGCAAGGCTTTGTGACCCACTGTGGGCCCTCCCCTCACAAGGCTGGCTTGGGGATCCCCCCACCCTGTGCAGGGAACTAATTTAGGCTCATGTGGAGGACAGCTGGGGTCCTGGGCTGGGGCCTGAACGGGGATAGGGAAAGGCCTTAGACTCTGGCTCATTGGGTGTTTCCAGAGTCGACGGGGGCTTTGGGGAGCCATAGGGCATGGAGGACAGTGTGGGCATAGGCCAAGGCTGCAGGTGCCTTGAGAAGGCTGGGGTGGTCTGGGGCTGAGAGATGGGGCGAGCCATGGGGCCAGAAGCAGGGGCTGGGCCACACCGAGGCTTCACTGCAGGCGCCGCGCGGAACCCCGTGCATTCTGAGCGCCTCAGGTGGCCGGCAGCCAGCGCTGTGGCCAGTGGTCAGGACACGGGCCCAAGCATCTCGCCTCGCCTGACCGAGTGCTGACATCACCTCCATCACAGACGGAAAATTCCATTTGGTCAGAGCCCAGATGCTGATCAGGCATTTCCCATTCTCTTTCTGAATGGGCCCAGGGCGGGGGGTGAAGGGGACGGCAGCCCACGGCCAGGGGAGGCGGGGCTGGCCCAGGAATGCCCGGGAAGGCTGTCATCCGGGAATGTGGCCTCAGGAGATGGGGGCAGAGGGCACGCCGGGCACCCCCATGCCTGGCTCGTGCATCCGGATGGCGACGGGCTCTGCACGGTCTGTGTGATGGGCTGCCCCCCCAACCCCGGTGCCCTCCTGTGTGAACCAGGAGGGAGCTGGCATCTTCCATGGGGCTGAGAGAAGCTGTTGTGGTAGAGGCCCCAGAGCCTGATGTCCTGCCAGAGAGAGAGCTCCCCAGCCTCTCGGACCTTGGGGTGGGGAGCCAGGGGGCCATGCTTCTGAGTGCCCACTGTGTGTCAGGCCTCAGTGCCAGAGGGGGCACTGCCCCTGCTAAATTGATGAGCTCAGCAAGGCCTTTCCAGCACCCTCCTGGGGGAGGTGTGGGTGGACAGACCCAGCACAGAGATGGTAGAAAGAGGGTCCCTTCCTCATTTCGGGGAGCTTCCTGGAGCCAGGCAGACAAACCAGGAGGGGATGAGGTGAACCCTGGAAGCCAGGCTCCAGGCCAGGGGTGAGGTGGGAGTGAGGGGGGCCACCTGGCTTCTGCCTGCCATTGCCTCCAGAGAAGCCTCTGGAAAGTAACTCACCTCCTTGGTACCCAGCTCCGAGCCCCAGAGCCTCTAGTCTGTGACTTGGTGCTGGCTCCTAAATCTGTGCGTCAACACACATTGTCTTGAGGACTCCACCCCCTACTCCGAGGAGGGGAAACTGGGACCAGGGCCGGCAGAACCCTAGCAGGCCCCCAGCTGGGGCCCCGAGCCCACCCTTCCCAGCAAAGGGCTTGTCAAAGGGTTGTCCTGACTCATCAGAGTGCTCACAGGCCCCAATCACTGCCTCAGTGGTGCCAGGACCACCCACTCCCATTTGCCAGATGAGAACCTGAGGCAAGATCCAGGGGGCCCTAGTGCCTGGGGTGAGGCTGGGGGGTGGGGGAGGAGCCGCGCCAGGGTCCTGAGGCACCTGGGGCTGTTGGATACAGGCTGGGCCACGGAGACCAGAGAGTAGGACAGGTGGGTGCACCCGGGAAGACCTGTTCCCCGGGCCGCCTCCCTGACGGGGCCTGTCCTCGGCCAGGAGGTTGGGGAAGAGCTGCGTGGGCAGAGGCTGCCACAGGCAGACGGTGTCCGGAAGGCACTGTGCCCCTGTGGGCGGGAGTCACACTGTCCCTCTCTTGGGTGTCCTCCTACAGTGCTTTGATTTGGTTTGTTTTGTTTGTTGTTGTGGGTCTTTTTCGGTTTTCTTTTTTCTTTTTTTTTAAACCACAAGATTGTACTAACTTTATAATTAAAACACAGAACCAGAAGCCTGTTAGTAGCTCCCTTCAGCTGAGCGTGGGAGGCCCCTGGCCTGAGCCCGGCTGTACCTCCACGTGAGAGCCCCTACGGCTCTCTGCACCTTGTTTTCGCCTTTGTGGGATGGTGTGAGCCTTCCCCAGCCACCCTGGGCCGCTCTGTGGGAACAGGGCCTGGCAGCCACGCCACACCCCTCTCAGTTGATGGCGGGGTCATGTGGGCCTGGGAGGCTGAGAACCTGGACTGTTGGGGCTCTGCCAGCCCTGGTCCCAGTTTTCCCTCCTCTGAGTGTGGGGGGGGTCCTCAAGACGATGTGTGTTGACGCACGCATTTAAGCTCCAGCACCCAGCTCTCTGTGTTCTGGACTTTTCTGGATTGTGCCCAGTTGTCGGGGGGTGGGGATCAGACGGGAGAGGAGGTGGCACCGTGGGGGTTGGGGACTACTCCAGCCGAGGCCAAGGGAAGTCAGAGCAGAGCGTGGCCTCCAGGGGGACCATCGGCGGAGGGTGGGGAGGCGGCCCAAGGGCTCATTCTGGTTGAAGGGTTCTAGGTAGGGGTGTGGTAGGGTCTCTGAGAGTTTCAGGGAGGGGAGGAGATGTAGGCAGGGTGGAGAAGGGGTGGCGGTGGTCAGGACACGGTAACCTGGGGCAGAGGGGGGCCTTGGTTACGGAAACACAGATGTCCCTTGTGAGCCACGGCCCCGGGGCGGTGCTGTGTTCTGCCCTTTGCCTCTGTCCTGTGAGGAGGGGCTGGGCAGTGCCTGTGGCACCCCCGGTCAATGTCCAGCCTGTGCACGTGAGGGCAGACCTGGAGCGCCTGTAAGACAGTGCCGTCTCACCCCACGGGTAGGGGGGGTTGCTGGTTCCGGGACCCTTAAGGTGAGCCCCCTCCGTGGCTGGTCCCCGATCCCTGACGCACCCTGATTCCTGCCTGGAGGCCCCTGGCTGTGGCCTGGATCTGGGGCGTACTCTCTGTGACATGAGTGCCCCTGACCTAAGGGGAGCCCCAGCCTGATGAAGTGGTCCTGGTACAGCCCCCCAGGGCTGCTTCCCTCCTCCCCCCAGCTCGTGAGCGGGAGTGCCCAGGCCCTCCTGCCAGGGCAGGGATGGGAGGCACCCTCAGCCTGAAGGAGCAGTGGAGGGTGCCAGCCCCCAACGCCCACTGCACCCTAGCAGGGCAAGGCTATGGCCTCAAGGTGTCACCCTGGTCGGCCCCTGAATGGTGCCTCCGTTCTGGGCCTTGTGGGGGGAGGGCAGAGGCCCAGCCTCCCACCAGATCCCAGGGCCCCAGTGTTGCTCTGAAGGGTGGCTGCTACGTGCCTCCCTGGTCAGGCAGGAGGGGGGAGGGCCTCACTTCTGGGGTGTGGCCAGGGATGGTGAGTCTGGTGGGAGACCTTGGAGGTCACCAGGCTCCTGTGAGGGGAGGGTGTGCCATCCTCCACAGCCCGGCAGCCATCCCTGGGTGCCAGGGCCTCTGCAGCCCAGCCTCTCTTCCCAAGGGGGCCCTGCAGCTGGCAGGTGGGCCTTCCCCCCAGCGGCACCCCAGTGTTCAGACATGGGGAGAAAGAGTGTTTCCAGGTCTCTCGGGGTCCTTCCAGTGAGAGCAGCTGAGCGGTGCCCAGTGTCCACACCATAGACCTGATGGCCGTGTGTGGTAGTGGGCCTGCTGTGTGGAACTTGGTAGCCTCCCCATGAGGGCACATGGTCAGGCCCGGCCTACAGCCCTAACAGGCCACCACTCCCGCCCCAACAAGAGACCTGTGCTGAGGTCCCAGAGGTGCCATGACACCTGTCCTTCCTCCGCATCTTCTCTGAAGCCAGTTTCTTTACCAGTAAAATGGGGTGGGGAGGAGGGGGATGCCGACCTCAGTGCTAGGAGGGGGCCCCAGGAGGCACTCCCAAGATGTGGATGGAGAATTCTGGGCCCTTCAGGCTGCCCCTGGTCCAGTGACTTGCAAAGATGGCCAGGTCCAGATTAGTCTCTGCGCTGAGGGCAAGGGCCACCGCAGGCATAGCCTTCACCAACACAATCCATCAGCCTCTTCTGGGGAGACCATTGCCCCCTTTTGCAAAAGAGAAAACCGGGGCTCTGGGAGATGAGGGGCCTTCTTCAGCCGCATGGCCATCAACAGCTGTGCTGGCCCAGCCCAGGAGCCCCTGCCCACCCAGCACCCCCTTACTGGGCTTGGTCAGGGACCCCTGTTCAGACATGGCCATGCCCAGCTGGCCCCTCCGAGTATGGCTTGGGTCCAGAACAGGGTTAAGGGCAGGAGTCGCTCAAGCGTAGGGAGCCTCCATCCCTGGAGCCGGAGGCCGGTTGGGTGGGAGCGAGCCAGGTCCCTGCGTTAAGGTGCAGAACCATGCCGCTCCGCCCTTCCAGCGCCGCCTCTGCTCCCACAGGCGCTGCTGCTGCTGGGGGCCGCCGCGCTGGCCTGCCTCGCCCTGGACCTCCTCTTCCTTCTCTTCTACTCCTTCTGGCTCTGCTGCCGGCGGCGCAAGAGCGAGGAGCACCTGGACGCCGACTGCTGCTGCACCGCCTGGTGCGTCATCATCGCCACGCTGGTCTGCAGGTGAGCGCGGGGCGGGGCCAGGCACAGTGGGGGCGGGCCCGATGGAGGCGGGGCCTGGGCGAGGGGCGGGGCCTGGGCGAGGGGCCCGGACGCGCCCTCAAGCTCCCCCTTCCCCGCCCTGCCCCAGCGCCGGCATCGCCGTGGGGTTCTATGGCAACGGGGAGACCAGTGACGGCATCCATCGGGCTACCTATTCGCTCCGCCACGCCAACCGCACAGTGGCGGGCGTCCAGGACCGCGTGAGTGGCTGTCCGATGGGGAGGGGGGTTCCATTCCTGCACCCTGTGTCTGCATATGTGCCCAAGGGACGGGCATGTGTGGGGAACAGGTCCGTGCCCTGGCTCACTGGCCCCACGCCCGGCGCAGGTGTGGGACACCGCGGCCGCGCTGAACCGCACGGCAGAGCCCAGCCTGCAGAGCCTGGAGCGGCAGCTGGCCGCGCGCCCAGAGCCCCTGCGTGCAGTCCGGAGGCTACAGGGCCTTCTCGACACGCTACTGGGCTACACCGCTGCCATCCCCTTCTGGAGGAACCCGGCTGTGTCCCTGGAGGCGCTGGCCGAGCAGGTGGATCTCTACGACTGGTACAGGTGCGGCTGGCCCCCTGTTCTGTCCCCCCACCTGGCCCCTACTGCCTGGGTGTCAGTCTCCCTCCATGGGCTAATGGACTTCAGAGCCCAGTGCCTGAGTTTTTGTGTGTGGGAGTTCCCGAGGAGTTCTTTGATCAGAATTGATGCCAGCCCCTATATTCTAGAGCTGCCTGTGGATGCCCCTCTGGGCCCCAGGCTGTCCTCTCACCCCATCCCTGTGTGCCCACAGGTGGCTGGGCTACTTGGGCCTGCTGCTGCTCGACGTGGCCATCTGCCTGCTGGTGCTGGTCGGCCTCATCCGCAGCTCCAAGGGCATTCTGGTTGGGTGAGTCTGTGGGGCAGAGGGCAGATGGCAGGGGGTTGGTACCTGCAGCACCATCTTCTCTCCCCCACCCCCATCTGTGGGTCTAGCCACAGGCCTGCCCGAGGGTGGGGCTTCCATGGTGGGAGCCCACTCCAACACTTCTCCTGGTGCCCCTGTGGGGGGCACATCCGCCCTGTCTGCCCTTGGCTCCCTCTGGGTTCCTCCCCCACTGAGCCTGCATATTGTAACCCTTAGACTTGAAGCCCTGTCCAGGTCACCAAGTCATGGGGACACCAGAGAGTCAGGCTAGAGTCTCCTCCATTCCCTACATCCGCAGTCTGGGCTCATAGCCCCGCTGTGCCGCTCACTTAGCTGGCCACCTGGGGCAGGTGGCTCTTTGGCCCTGATACTCCATCTCTTCATCTGAAAGACGAAGACAGTGCTAGCTGCGAGCACCTGTCACTTCCTCACTGAACAATCGAACAGCCGCGTCCTGTGCCCTCTCCGGGCCAGGCACAGGCAGAGACCAGTGAGCACACAGGCCCCTGTAACATGCCTTGTGTCAGAGGTGGCGGTGCTGTGGAGAAGGGGAGAGCAGGTGGTGGGGAGGGCGGGCAGGTGGAGAGGATGGGGAGGTGGGCACGCAGGGAAGGCAGGCAGGCGAGGAGGATGGGGAGGCAGGGAGGACGGGGAAGACGGGCAGGCTAAAGGATGGGCAGGGGGGCAGGATGGGGAGGATAGGCAGGCGGGGAGGACGGGCAGGCGGGGAGGAAAGGCAGGCAGGCATGTGGGGAGGACAGGCAGGTGGGGAGGATGGGGAGGCGGGCAGTTAGGGAGGACGGGGAGGCAAAAGGACAGGCAGGCGGGGAGGATGGGGAGGACAGGCATGCGGGGAGGACAGGCAGGTGGGGAGGACGAGGAGGCAGGCAGGTAGGGAGGACAGGGAGGCAGAAGGACAGGCAGGCGGGGAGGACGGGCAGGTGGGGAGGACGGGGAGGCAGAAGGACAGGCAGGCGGGGAGGGTGGGGAGGACAGGCATGCGGGGAGGACCAGGAGGCAGGCATGGGGGGAGGACAGGCAGGAGGGGAGGATGAGGAGGCAGGCATGTGGGGAGGATGGGCAGGCCAGTCTGCAGCACACATGCTCCAGGAGGAGCCCTGGCAGGGAGGGGTCTGGACGTCTTACCAGCAGCGCTAGGGCCCAGAGTGGGGTGCGTGAGGAGAGCAGGGAGGCCTGAGTGTATGGACAGCAGGGAATGGGGAGAGAAGGGAGGGTAGGTCTCAGGCAAGGCAGGGCTTGAGCCCCATGGAATCTGGGCTGGGCTAACAGGCCCTTCCTGCCACGCTGTGGAGTGCAGGGTGAAGGCCAAGACCCGTTGTCTGCCGGGTGGGGAGGGAAAGCGGGAAGACCTCCCTTCCCAGCCCTACCCTGAGCACCCCCCCCAGCCCCTTCCCAGGTGGGAGGGAGATCCGTCCGTGCCTGGCCTTCTGGTGGTTCTGGCCTTAGAGGAGCCGTAGCCCTTCTGTGGACAGAGCTCCTAGAAGCTCCTGGGGGACCTGGCCCTCTGGCTTGCAGCTGCTCTGGCCTGGCAGTGTCTGATTGGCTGTTTTTGCCCTAAGGGTCTGCCTGCTGGGGGTCCTGGCCCTGGTCATCAGCTGGGGCGCACTGGGCTTGGAGGTGGCCGTGTCCGTGGTGAGTGGCAGAGGGGGAGTGTTGTCCCTGCGTGCTGGGCCTGGGCATGGGGGAGAAGTGGGGCAGGTCGTACTCATTTCCCCACCCCACCCTGGGATGCCAAGGTTCAGCGAGGAGTGGGGACCTTCCCGTGGGCACACGGCAAATCAGTGCCTCCCCCCCATCCCTGACTGCCCTTCTGGAGCTAAGAGCGGACCTGGGAGGCAGGCTCTATTCCCGAGAGCTGGAGCTATGGGGGCTTAGTTCAGTCACCCCATCTGCCTGCCCCCACCTGTCCCAGGGCTCCAGTGACTTCTGTGTGGACCCCGACACCTACGTGACCAGGATGGTGGAGGAGCACTCCGTGCTGAGTGGGGGTGAGTCTGCGGCTGGCACCCCAGTGGCTAGGCCGGGGAGACCCAACTGAGAGAGGACAAGCCACCCTTTCCCTCATGGGCCCTTGGTCTTGTGGGGGCAGGACCCACGCACATCAAGAAGCTAGTGAGTGGACAGGAAGGCCTGTGAGTGGGGGTGGGGGACTCTGAGAATGAGGACAGGAGCTGTGCCAGGCCAGATGACAGAGGAGGAGTACGAGTGGAGGTAACTGACAAGAGGGGGCAGCAAGTGATGACAGACTACTTCAGAGCAGACAGAGTGGTCTACCAAAGAGGTAGGGAAGGCTGTGCGTTTTGTGCAAAGGCACTGGGGCAGAGACAGACCTGATATGTCTGTAAGGCAGTAAATAGACCAATTGGGAGAGGAGGGGGTGGGGAGGCCAGTAGGGACAGGTTGAGGAAAAGAATTTGGGCTTAATTCTCGGGGTTGCATTGGAGGTGGGAAGCCTGGAAGAGACATGGTCCATGATTCAGTTTCTTTTTCCAAGTTTCTTTGGGCTGTTGGAGCAACAAGGAGGTCAGGCAGGAAGGCAGGGAGGCCATTGCACTCCGACAGGCAGGACACAGGTGCCTTGAGCCAGTGGGGCATGTCCTGAGCTGCTGTCCTTGCAGGAGCCCTGGATGGAGCTGGGGGCAGAGAGCATGTCTGGGGCGGGGGGTCAGCAGCGGTATGCATGCTACCCATCCCAGGAGGCAGGTGCAGGTGCAGCCAGGGCTGGAGGGTGCTGAGCTCAATGGTTTCCCTTGCTGTGTGTGCTGTGTGCCCGTTGGGAGAAGGGTACAGGGACTGTCCCTATGGGACAGGGGTTCTGAGTGGCCTTGAAACACTGGCCTTCACAGGACTGTCTTCCCCTCCTTGCCCGACAAAGCCACAGAGGGGAGCCTGTGGTCAGGTTTTTAGCTTATCTGGTTGAAGGAACCATTTTCATCTAAGCCAGAGGAGCTCCCAGTGGGGGAGGGCTGACGTGCAGAGCTCAGACCCAGCAGGACCGGTGGCGGCTGTTCCCACCACTGTCCCTGGTCCCGGCGCCATCAGCCTGCCGGGTCCTCACTGCTCAGGACTCTTGGGTCATTGGCAAGCGTGAGCAGCCCCCAACCTCATGTGAGTGTAGGCTCCCGCCTGTAGGCCGCCTCTCACGGGCCAGGCAGAGCCTGGAGGTGTTCGCTTCTTAAGGTTGGTTGCAGCCCAGGCCCAAGGAGCAAAGGGCAGGACCTCCGTGGGAGGCTGCCCCAGGCCGCAGCCAGCCCTCTGCCTAAGCACTTGCTCCAGGTCCCCACCTCACACTGGGCCCTGGAGGGACCCCAGAAGGGAGGTGCCTGGAATTCCAAAGCCAGGGTCACTGCTTCAGGGAAAGGTCCGGAGAGCCTTGTGGGGGGGTGAGGGGAGTCCAGGGTTCCTCCATCAGCAGCAGCCAGGCTCAGATCTCTCAGGGTTTCCTGAATCAGAACTGTAAGTGCGTCCCCATCTTCAGATGTGGGACACTGAATCTACCTGTTCTAATGAGGATTAGACAGGTAGGCCACCCAAGTCCTGGGCACTCTGGGCTGCAACGTATGGGCTGTGTCACCTCCTCTTTGGGGCGACGCTCTGGCCTGAGAACTGTCATTATGCCCAAGTGACCCATGAGCACATGTATCCCCGGGCATCTTCTGACCCCTTGCCCACCTCCAGTGCCCTGTCTGCTGCTCCAGAGGGAGGGGAGGAACGTGGCTGCACCCAAGCGACCCCTGTGCGTGTTGCAGGGACACTGCCCAGGGCAGGGGGCTCTCTGTAGGCCACATCCCCGTCATGTGTGCTCCTGCACACCCGTGTGCTCCAGCACACACAGGCACAGCGTACAGACACGTGCACACACACGTAGACACACACAGGACATGCGGACGGCCAGCCGCACTCGGCCGCCCTGACCTCTCTCTGCAGACATCTTGCAGTACTACCTGGCCTGCTCGCCCCATGCCTCCAACCCCTTCCAGCAGGTGAGTGCTGGGCCCCCTCCTGCCCCTGGGGGTGCAACACGGACTCTGACCCCCGCAGCCCTCCAGCCCCTCTCTCAGATATCATTAGACCCTGGGACCCAAGGAGCAACTGGATGAATGCCACACTGACCTCACCGACTGCCCCCAGGGTTAGCGCCCTGATACCCTCGGTGTACCCTTTTGGGGTGGACTGCTTACTACCCCCCAAATACCTGGGATTCTTTTCATTTCTTGGGTTGCCCTTGGCCACCCTACAGAGCAAAGCCAGTTGCCTTGCGGGAAGGGTCCTGTGCCCACCTCTGGAATGACGGCACAGGTGTCGTCAGGGTGGAGTTTGGAGGGAAGCCCTTCGGCCCACTGCCCATCACTCCACATGACCACATGGCCCTCAGGCGTCCTGAAAACACCATGCTTTTGGTGATCTGGGTCCCCTCTGGGTGCGGGGGCTATCTCCCGGGGAGCCAGCGGGGGATGTCCCACAGTGCCCACAGAGCAGAGTGCCCGAGGGCTAGCACGGGCCTGAGGCACTGTGTGTGGGTGCGGCCCTGGGGTGGGAGAGACGGGCTGCCCCTGCCCCTACTGGGGTCAGCCAGCCTGTCTGTGGAGCAGAAGCTGTCTGGCAGCCACAAGGCACTGGTGGAGATGCAGGACGTTGTGGCCGAGCTGCTGAAGACTGTCCCCCGGGAGTACCCGGCCACCAAGGTGAGTGGACAGTGGGCCACTGGTGAGCTAGACACAGAGCAGCGCCCCCTGCCCAGCCCCTGCTGGAGGTCCGTGCCTCTCTCCCACCCTTCCCTGCGGCCCCTTCCCTTCTTCCCCTGCATCCACCCTTCAGCACCCTGGGGAATTTTGGTAGCCTTTTAGAAGTAGTTCTGTTCTTTACCTTTTTTAAATATATATGTATATATATATGTATGTGTGTGTGTGTGTGTGTGTGTGTATTTCTTAATGTATACTTTTTTTTTTTTAATGTTTTATTTATTTCTGGGAGAGAGAGAGAGAGACAGCGTGAGCAGGGGAGGGTCAGAGAGAGAGGGAGACACAGATTGAAGCAGGCTCCAGGCTCTGAGCTGGCAGTCAGCACATAGCCTGACGCGGGGCTCGAACCCACGAACCGCGAGATCATGACCTAAGCGAAAGTCGGACGCTTAACCGACTAAGCCACCCAGGCGCCCCTCTTAATGTATACTTTTGAGAGAGAGACAGAGGACAAGCAGGGGAGGGACGGGGGGGGTGGGGCACAGAATCTGGAGACAGGCTCCAGGCTCTGAGCGAGCTGTCAGCACAGAGCCCAACGTGGGGCTCAACCCACAAACTGCGAGATGATGACCTGAGCTGAAGTCGGACGCTCAACCGACTGAGCCACCCAGGCCCCTCTGTTCTTTATTTTTAAAGAAATCACACTTCGAATGAAAAAAATAAGGAAAATGGGGATAGATGTGGGAACAAAGTTGGGGTGTTCCGGGGATTGGAGGGGTGATGTTCTGGGGCCTGAGCGCTTCACCCCACACATTTGTTACCGTACTGCTGGCAGAGCGCGGACTCCCCGAAGGCAGCAGTCAGCCCAGGGGAGCCCTGCCTGGCCTGTGTGCACCACTGCAGAGGGGGACATGGCTCGCTCTCCACCATTTTTGTGACCAGCTGGATTTTCTGTAATCTCCCAAAATTTAAATTAAAAAAGAGTACACATGTTTGTAAGTTGCTTCCCAGGTCTGGGGTCTGCCCCAGAGGGCATCCTCTGGGTATTTTGCAATTGAGTGGATAGGGAGGTATGTCCATGTCCTGGGGCTGGCGGTACAGAACGTGCACAGGGGGCTGAGGCAGTAGAGATTGATGTCCTGACAGTCTGGAGGCTGGAGGTCAAGGTGATCAGGACCAGGGCTTGGGCAGGGCCGCCTCCTCCAAGGCCTCTCATGGCTTCGCACGGTCATTCCTCTGCGCGTGTCTGGGCCCCGACCTCCTCTTACAAGTCGTCAGTCTCAGTGGATGGGGCCCCCCTTGTGACCTCTGCCTATCCCAATTACCTTCTTAAAGGCTCCGCCTCCAAACACAGACACAGTCTGAGGTGTTGAGGGTTAGGCATGCAACGTAGGAATTTGGGGAGAGGAGGACACGATTCAGCCCTTAATAAATAATGAGTTTTGTTATCCTGAAATCCATTTCTGACTCACAGAGTGCTCCTCGAATACATGTTCTAAAAGGCAGTACTGGGAGCGCCTGGGCCGCTCGGTCAGTTGAGCATCCAGCTTCGGCTCAGGTCATGATCTTGTGGTTCCCGAGGTCAAGCCCCAGGTCAGGCTCTGTGCTGATGGCTCAGAGCCTGGAACCTGCTTCCAATTCTGTGTCTCCCTCTCTGTCTGCCCCTCCCCTGCTCACAGGTGCCTGTACACACGCGCTTTCTCTCTCTCAAAAATAAACATTACCAAAAAAAAGGCGGTGCTGGGTCCAGTGGCCAATCTAGAGGAGCCACTGTTGACCCTGAAGTGTGTCTATGAGGTCATCTTTCCACAGAGAAGATGTGGATGGAGGCGCCTGCATACACATATAAACATACACGTGCACACACATTCATTCTCTACAGATCCGGCTTGTTCTATACAAAGGGTTCACACCATGTTTTGTCATTTAAAAAACCATAAACTAAGATTTGTAAATCAGGCCCCCATCAGAAGCCATAGGGATATCGGTGGGTCCGCCTTTCCCCACTACACTCACATCCTCAACAGTCCCCCTGAGGCCAGGGCACAGACTGGGGACATCATTTCTAGAAGCCCAGGGTCCTCAAGGCCTATGCCAAGACCATGGGTGTGGGTGGGCAGACACACGGGGGGCTTCCAGGGTGCCTGTGCCCAGCTCAGGTCTGCCCTCTTGGCTGTGGTGCTGACTTGTGTGGTACGTGTCCCCCCAGGACCCCCTGCTCCGTGTCCAGGAGGTACTGAATGGCACAGAAGTGAACCTGCAGCACCTCACTGCCCTGGTGGACTGTCGCAGCCTGCACCTGGTGAGGGCTGGCCTTGGGGGCCTGGGTGCAGGGCACAGGGGGACAGGAGGGCAGAGCTGTGGGGCAGGAGGGAGCAGCTGGGGGGCAGGAGGGAGCCGCTGGGGGTCTGGAGGGAGCCACTGGGGGGCAGGAGGGAGCAGCTGGGGGCCAGGAGGGAGCCGCTGGGGGCAGGAGGGAGCTGGAGGGTAGGAGGAAGCAGCTGGGGGCAGGTGGGAGCAGCTGGGGGGCAGGAGGGAGCAGCTGGGGGGCAGGAGGGAGCAGCTGGAAGGGCAAGGGGAACAGCAGGTAGTTGCTAGAGGGTTAGGGGAACAGATAGGAACAGCTGGGGGAAGGAGGGGCAGCTAGGGGTGTGGGACCTCAAGAGAAGGGGAGCTCACGGGTGGGTGGTGGGCCTGAAGCCCAGGCTCGAATCAAGGGCGGTCCAGGCCTCTGTGCGCTGGGCTGAGTCTCTGGCACATCTCATCTCACCCTGCCTTCCCTGTCTCTCTCCCGGTCTCCGTGGGCCTCGCCGTCCCCGTGCCGTCTGGCCTCAGGACTACGTGCAGGCCCTGACAGGCTTCTGTTACGACGGCGTTGAGGGCCTCATCTACCTGGCCCTCTTCTCCTTCGTCACAGCCCTCATGTTCAGCTCCATCGTCTGCAGCGTCCCACACACCTGGCAGCAGAAAAGGTGAGGGGCTCGGTGCTTGCAGCAGGCTGTACCCTATGCAGGATGTTTTGGGGATGCGCCTTCTGGACACCCGCACCCCAGTTCCCAGAGACAGGAGCAAGTGCCTCAGCCCCTCACCCTCTGTAAACCTCCACGGTGCTTGGAGGCTGGCGCGTCCAGGGTGAGCTTCCGCACTTCACAGATGGAAAACAGGGTAGAGGAGCTCCCAGCCCAGGTGACATGCACGGTCTCCTGGCAGCTAGTGCTGGCCCCGCGCACCACGCCCTTGCCTGCCTCTGCCCGGCTGGCCTCGGGATACCTGTCCATCTCCCCACCCCCAGGTGCAGATGTGCAGGGCTTGTGGGTGGAAAGACCAGCCAGTTGGCTGTGGGGACTCGGAGCTTTTGCAAGGGCAGGCCCCAGTGGCCGTGGCCTCTGTGGCCCATTTAGCTGGGTGACCTTATCTTTGAAGTGGGCTTCCTGGGAACCCCTGCCTTAGTCTCCCCAGTCAGTACTAGGTTGAGTGGAGGAGCCAGATCCACTCCCTGGCTTGGGCCCCACACTTCATCTCCCAGACCCACCACCTCCCTTCCCATTTGGGCTGTGGCTGCTTCTTGATGGCCCAGCTCAGAGGACAAGTAGCTCAGCTTAGATCTCTTCCCTGTGTCTGGATTTCTACTCTGTTGTTTTCCGTGGTGGTCCTGCCAGTGACAGTGTTAGTGATGACAGTGATGATGGCTGTGTTAATGGTGGCGATGATGATAGGGACGATGGTGGTGGTGATGGTGACGATGGTGGTGGTTGTCATGGTGATGATGACATGACAGGTGTTGATGGTGATGGTGACGATGGGGGTGGTGATGACAGGTGTTGGTGATGGTGGTGATGATATTGATGATGGTGATGGTGATGATTGGGGTGTTGGTGGTGGTGGTGGTGATGATAGTATGGTGATGACAGGTATTGGTGATGGTGATAATGGGGGTGGTGATGACAGGTGTTGATGGTGATGATGGTGTTGGTGGTGATGGTGTTGATGGTGATGGTGATGATGGTGGTGGTGGTGATGATAGTGGTGGTGGTGAGGATGGTATGGTGATGACACGTGTTGATGGTGATGGTGATGATGGGGGTGGTGGTGGTGAGGGCACTAGTGGTGATGGTGGCAGTGGTAATAATGGTGGCAGTTATAGGGAAGGGGCTGAAAGAACAGAACAGACCTGGAACCACATTCCAGATCCCGGCTCTGCCTTTGCTTACTGGATGACCACGGGCAAGCCACTTACCACTCTGGGCCTTCACCTCCCTAACTGTAAAATGTGGGTTGTAAAGTTCCCACCTCTTGGGGTCAGATAGGTACTAGATGAACCATTACGCATAAGGGCTTAACCCTGGGCATGGCTGGTAATTGAAACTCAGCCAGTTGCTGCCACTGTCCTGTTCATCTCACTGCAGGAGGCTCAGAGAGGAAGCTGGCTGCTCGCGGTCAGGAGGTGGGCCTGGCTCACCTAGGCCAACACCCGCCAGGCAGTGTCGCCCGAAGTCCAGCCTGGGAACAGGCAGGACCTGCTAAGCCTCGAGTGTGCCAGAGGCCTGGGCACCCTGGGCAGAGTGGATTGGAAGTGCAGCAGAGTGAGAGGGTGGGTTCAGGCCCCAGGGGTACACCCTCCCTGTGGGCTCAGGCCACCCAGAAATGCAGGCAGAGACCTGTAGGGCATAGAGGGGGCACCCCCACATCCAGGTACCCGGCCCTCCTACCCTGCCAGGAGGGATCATGGCCCGTGTTCTCGGAGGCAGACCCCATTCCCTGTACAGGCTGAGGCACAGTGCCCTCGGCACCCCATCTCCCAGAGGAGGAAGCCAGGGTGACTTTCCCACAGTCCCAGAGCCTGAGCCTGCCCAAGCCAGGAATGAACGAGGCGTGTCTGCGTCCGAGCTGACCCTGCACAGGTGTGGCGGCCGGCCCCCTTGGACGGGCCCTGACCCTGTGTGGGTACCCCTCCCTGCAGAGGCCCCGAGGAGGACGGGGAGGAGGAGGCTGCCCCGGGGCCCAGGCAGGCACACGACAGCCTCTACCGTGTGCACATGCCGAGCCTGTACAGCTGTGGCAGCAGCTACGGCAGCGAGACGAGCATCCCCGCCGCAGCCCACACCGTCAGCAACGCCCCAGTCACTGAGTACATGTGAGCTGTGCCCGCAGTGGGGGAGGGGGGAGCTGGGTGGGGACGGGTGGAACCGGGCCCGGGGAGGGGGGCAGGTCGTGTGGAGTTCTGTGCGCCCCGCTTCGGGGAAGCTGAAAGGCAGGGTCCGAAGGGGCCTCCCCGGGGGCTGCCTGGGCTTTGGGTGGGGTTGCCCGGGCCACAGTGAGGCTCCTCTGTCAGGTGCAGGGTCTGTGTGGAGAATGTGGGGGTGCCGTGGACGGCCCGAAGCCAGCCACATGGTGGGCGGGCATTCAGGTGGGGTGGGCTGAGCTGGGCCGAGGCAACCTGGGCCGAGCCCTCCTTCCTATGCCACCATCACAGGCGCCCCAGGCCCTTGCTAGGGGCTGCATACAGGGTGGTGATGAGAACGGGGAGGGCCAGGCAGGGGTGGGTGGGCAGGGGGTCTGCCCGGCTCCAGAGGGGCCTCTGCTCGGCTGGCAGCCACTCACAGCACCCACCCCTCAACCACAGGAGCCAGAATGCCAACTTCCAGAACCCGCGCTGTGAGAACACACCCCTCATCGGACGCGAGTCCCCACCGCCCTCAGTAAGTATCAGGCTGGGGTGGGGGGCAGGCCTGGGTGGGGTGCTGCGTGGCTGCCTTGATGATCGTGTTGCTCTCATGGGCAGTGCAGGCTCCATGGGGGCGGTGGTGAGCCTCCATGGCCAGGACCTGCACGGACGGTGCCAGGCGGGCCCACGAGCTGGCCGTGAGGCACCCCTGAGCCCCAGCTGCCTGGTGAGTCAGCTCGACTCCGAGGGGCCCTGGCATCTCCTTTCTCAGGCGGCCGCTTCCTTTCATTTCCTCCATTGACTCCCTGAGCTGGGCCTCTGGCACTTGCAGCCAGTGTCCCCTCTGGTCTCGAGGGCGAGACAGAAAAGAAGAGACAGGGAGGTTTGGTGCCCAAGAGAAGGAGCTTGCAGACTGGCAGGGGCCCTGGTGGCCCTGCTGGACAAGGTGGGCTGCCAAGGACAGGCCCAGAGGGGCCGAAGGCCACCCGTCTTCAGAAATAGTGTGTGTGCGGTGGCCCCATCCTGCCCTCCAGACCCTGGGCTGCCCTAGACCTTGGACCAGGGCTGTGCAGGTTCGCAGCCCTCCTTATCGGCACAGTGCTCTGGCACCCCATGGCCTGCTGAGGGCTGGGCCCCCACCCTGGCGTTGAGGCTGCCCCCTCTCTCTCTCTCTCTCTCTCCTGCACCCCTCCCTCCTGCCCCGGGCCTTCCTAGCGCTATCTGGCTGCCTTGGATTCTGGCAGCCACACAGGCTGGCAGTTTAAGCCCATGGATAGTGCCTGAACGCTGTGGCGGCTGTGCCCTCAGAGTGACAGGTACTGACCCGCCCCGGGTGCCCTGCCCCGCACGGCCTGTCCACTGCACCTCTCTGCCTTGTGCTCTCGGCTCACTGCTACCCCCTCGCCAGTGCCGGTCTTGGAACCATGTGACGTGCCCCAGGGCCATCACAGCTCAGCACCTGCCTGCCTGTGAGCTCGTCAGCCCCCAGCCCAACCTCGTGCCGGATTCCGGCAGGTGACCCTCACATCAGGGGCAGTGAGCCCCCTCCCTACCCCTGGCCCAGTTGCAGGCAGCCCCGCCCTTCTTACCACCTCCCAGCAAGGAGACCATCTGCCCCGGCCCCTGGGTGTGGCCAGCAGGCCCGGCCCAGGAGGTGCCACCGTGCATGTTCAGCAGTGCACACAGGTGCATGCAGGCAAGCGTGCACGCTGTCCCCAGCTGCCCCACACATGTGTGCGTGCCTGCTTGGGCTCCTTCAGGGGTCTGGGGTGTCATCCCACCCCTGCCCCGTGCCCGTGGAATGACCCGCTCCCAGGCGCCCACTGCTTGGCCTCCTGACACTGTCCAGGCCAGCCTCCTGGCACCTTCCACCTTCTTCACCTCCTGGAGTTCGGGAGGGCTCTGGGGACTGGGGAGTGTTGTCCCTCCCCATCTGGGGACTTGGGTGACATCAGCGCGTGCCTGTGGGGTCAGCCTGCCCAGGCTCCCTGATGCCAGCAACCCTCGGCACTTGGCCTGGCCTTTGTCCACGTCCCATTGGGCCTGGGGCCCTTGCACACTGCTCAGCCGCAACACACGCCTCCTCTGTGGGTGTATTCATCATGAGCGTACCCGTGCACAAATGTGCTTCAGGTCGGATGAGGGGCGGCCAAGACATGCCGTCTGTGCCCTCCCTCCAGCCACCTCTGTCCCTGCACCTGTGAGCCGGGAGGAGCTCGCAGCCAGGGAGCCTGTGTGACACTGCATGACCCTGTGTGCCCTCCTTTCCTGGGGCAAAGGGTCAGAGTGGCCTGGGCCCTAGCCCTTTCTCGAACACAGCCTGACTCTACCTTTGCATGATGCTCTCTCACTGGGGCAGGAGCCCCCCACCCCACCCCTGTCCCCTCAGCCCAGCCCTGGAAGGCAACCTCACTGAGTGTGCTCCTGTCCCCAGGAGAGGACCCTGGGCCACGGGGGCTGGCCTCTGCTCATGGAGCCCACCGGCCACTCCTGAGCCCCTCCACCGGGGGAGGCTCTGGCAGCTGGGCCACTGCCATCCTGTCCTGCCCTCCGGTTGCTCCTGGCTCACCTCGCTGAAGCCTTCCCTCGGCTGCGTCCAGTGCCCCGTTGACCCCCTCTCCTCCTTGTCTCCCTCCAGTACACCTCCAGCATGAGAGCCAAATACCTCGCCACCAGCCAGCCTCGCCCCGACTCCAGCGGCAGCGGCCACTAGACAGCCCCGGCTGGCCACCCGCCCGCGTGCCAATTGCCCCACTCCTCCCTGTGCCAGCACTGCCGCTTTAACCCGCGACCACTCGCCGGACCCTCCGCACACACGCCAGGCCCGCTGTAGGCCCCTCTGTGGCCCCTCGCCCTTCCCCTCCCCTTCCCGCAGGGGCATGGAGGTGAGGAGCTCCGGGCCCGCATCCTCACCTCGGGCCACACGCCTGGACCCCTGCAAGCGATGCCACCAGCGCTGGGCCCGCGCCCCCATGCCTGCCCACCTGAGGATTTGGGTTCACCCTGCCCTGGGCCCATCTCAGTGCCGTGTCCCCACCCCTCGCTCTGCAGCTCGCTGACCCTGGGGACGCCTGCATTCTCAGCTCGCACCCAGCCTGCCCCTTTCCTCCCACAGCTCTGTGCTCCCGTGCCCCCCAGGCTTCTGTCCACAGGCTGTGTAGCACCCCCGCTGTGCGCACCACCCGGAGGGACCTTGGTGCGTGCCTGCCCGCCAGGCTCCTGTGCAGAGAGCTCCCGGGGCGCCTCTGTGCCATCTGTAGCTCTTCCCTTTTCTCTCCACTGACCACAGGCCCCTCCTGCCAGTTGCCAGAAGCCTCCCAGGGAGGCTCCGCTTCCTCTGCCCAGCACTGCTCTCTCCTGCAGCGCCCAGCCCCCCGCGGTGGCAGGAGGACAGCAGGGGCCGCGCTGAGCCCGGGCTGTGCACTCAGTGCTGGCCACCTTCTTGGTGCCAAACCCCCTCCCCCACCCCGAGACTTGGCAGCTCGTCTGGTTCATTTTTGCACTAACCACGTTTGTCACCCTGGGGCAGGCAGGTCTGCGGGCTGGGCAGGCCCCCCTGCTCGGTTCTCTCCCCCTCCTCGGTTCCCTCTCTGTTCAGGACAGGCGCAGTGTCCCGTGCCGGGCCATGGGGCTGGACCTGAGCTGGCTGTGAACGTGCCCTGGGCCCCTGCTGCCCCTCCTGGGACTAACCACTAACCTCACCCAGCCTCCGCGGGCACTCCTGGCCTACGCAGAGCCTGCACGTGTAACCCTGAGTCCAGGCCAGAGATGAGGCCTAAGCCGGCCGGCTGGGAATCAGGCTGGAGTAGCCGTTTCTTGTTGGGGTGCTGCTGGGGAAGGGCTGTAGACTGACAGGCAGCCCAGGAGCCTGGGGAGCCGTCCTGGGCAGGTGCTGCCCCAGGATGACTGTGTCCTAGGGAACGAATGTCCCTTGGGCTGTAGGACCGAGGTCCCTGCGGCCTCAGTCTCCCTACCTGTGAAGTGGGAACAAGGCTTCCCTAAGGTGCTTTGGCTTTAGTGTACAATGTTTGCTGTGTTTCCTGCCATGAAGGGCAGGCCACCCACAAATCAGGTTGGGGTGTCCCCTGCCAGTCCCAGCCTTGGTCTAGCCAGCCTGAAACGGAGAGGCTCCGGCCTGTGTGTCAGAGTACCATCGGCGGCCATGTGTGAGGGCCCAGGCCAGGGTCCTGCAGTGGGAGGTGAGCAGCTGGCCAAGCAGCTTACAGACATGTGGGCTCTTCCTTCCAGAGTTGGGGCAGTGCCTGTCCCGGGGCCAGGCTGCCTGCCCTTCCTCCACAATCCTCTCCCTGTGCTGGTGTCTGGGACCAAAAGGGTGGGTGGGCTGGAGGCCAGGCCACATCTGCCCCACTCCTGGGGCAAGCCCCTGCCCCGGGAAGGGAAGGGAATGAGCAGGCAAACACTGGGGTGCCCTAGGAGGTCCTGGGGCCCTGAACCCTGCGTCTGAGCCCATGGGCACGGCCAAACCTCACTGCAGGGCACTGTGTGCCCTGGGCCCCCATGGCAGAGCTGCCCAGGTTCTCTGGGCTCCACCAGTGGCGAGAGGGCTCCAGGCCCAGGGTGGGAGGAGGCCCCGCAGCCCTGCCTGGTGCCGCTGCGCAGAAGCACAAACAGCTGCCCACAGCCCTGGGAGGCCACCCACAGCTCTGGGAGGCCGCCCGCAATGTGAATGTACATAGCATGAGGGGCGGGCACTGCCCGGACAGGCTGTGGACCGCGGCTGTCCCGCAAGTTCCCTCTGTGCATCGTGTGCGTGTGCGCCTGCCCCATCTGCGACGTCAGCAGGTCCCTTCTGCTCGCCGAGGCTGGTTCAGGAAAAGGAGAATGGTCGCAAGGGGCTCGGACCCAGGCCTCAGTCTGTGGAGGGGAGCAGGTCTTGCCATTGATTTCCTTTTTGTTCGAAGTTTTCAGGGTCCCCTTCCTCACCGCCCTCCATCCTGGTGACTTCTCCACATCCCTTCCCACCCCTGCACCGCTGGGCCTCGCTTCCTGCAGGCCCTTGGCAAAGTGGGTGGCAAGTGGGAGGGAGGAGCCTCCCGGGGCCTTGAAGCGCCCCCTCCCCCCTCTGCAGGGTCCAGCTGGCTCCCAGGGCCCCGACAGGCTGGGCAAGTGGGAGGCAGGGTCCAGCCGGGACACCTGGCTGATGGGGCTCCCCGTGCCAGCATCCACTGCCCCTGGGTCCCCTGCTGTGTCACCCACCCCATCTCACTATGCAATTCCAGCCCAAGTACCATTCCCTCCCTACCTGGGATCCCTGCCCAGCCCAGGAGGGGTGGGTAGCCTCCCTGGGCCTCAGCTGGGGGCAGGCAGGGACATTTTATTTGACCGTGATGGTTGCGTGCTGTGCCACTTTGTTATATATAACCTATCATTCGATATGATTTTGTTAAGACTCCCACCCTCCCGGCCCCTGCACCCTCTCCCCAGTGAGATTTAATGCCCTGGGCGGTAAGGGGGAACTGAGGCCTGAACCATTCGGCACCTTCCTCCAGGGCCTTCCTCCGACCTCCGTAGGGCCACGGCTTGTGTGCTGTCGCTGTGTTTTTATTTTTATTTTTGTTTTTTAACTGGGTTTGGGGTTTGATTTTTATTTCTTTGGGGGCTTTATTTTTCTTGGCAAATAACTAAAAATCTCATCAATGTAATTTCTGTGGTTTCTATTCAGCTTGGGTTTCATGTTTTAAAATAAACAAATTTTAAAAAACAAGCCTCTCTTCCTGAGTTGATTTGGCTCCTGTCCTGCCCAAGTCTGTGCCCAGTGTGGTCGTGTGCTGGGGAGCCAAGAGACCCCCGGAGGTGGGGGAGGCACTGTCGTGGCCTTGAGCCCACCCAGGAGTCCCGGAGGTGGGGCCTCGTGAGACGGGCCACAGCGATAGTCTTGACATGTTAAAGGCCTCACTTTGCAGTCTGGACGTGCGCTGGAGCGGCCAGGGGGTACAGGACGCCTGTGAGGAGGTTCCTCCAGCTACCCGGAGAGGTGACGGGCCTGGCCCAGGGCAGGGGCTTTGGAGGGGGCCAGGTAGGAGGGATGAACCCACGGAGCTGGGGTTCAGGACACTTCCCCTGGGGCATCTCCAGCCACTGGCCTCCCCAGAGTCCTTCCTCCCAGGTGGGATGGTGGCGGGAAGAGGGGGAAAGGAGCCCTGCTGTATGCATGGCGGCCAGCAGGGGCGCGCCTGCCCCTAACTCCTGGCCACTGACCCAACCCCAAGACAGGTGGAAGGTGGTTCCCCTCGCCCAGCAACATCCCAGCCAATGAGAAGCCATACTACTCAGCCAATGAGAGGCCGCCATTCCGCTCTCCTCCAATGGGCTCTTGTCCCGAACAGCCTCATCCACGCCCCCTCTTCCCTCTGTATAAGCCCTGTGCGCACTTTGGGCTCAGTTTGTGGTTCACCTGTCTGTTGCGGGGTGTTGTTCCTCTGCCGTTCCCAAATAAGCTTGTTTTTGCTGGCAAAAGAACTGGCTGCTTTAAGGTTACCAATCATTCTTGTTCTCATCTGAGAAATGGACTTTGGAAGGTGCCACATAGTCCAGCAGGGAACTTTGGACGGTTGCTGGTGAGTTCATTTTCCTCCCCTATAGGTAATACCACCCACCCACCTGACAGGAGGCCTCAGTGCCCTGGGTAATGGGGGGACGCGACTTCGGATCAGGAAAGCATCTGTGTCCCATGCTTGGGGCACACGTGGGCAAGGGACCTGCAAAGGCCCAGTGGAAGGCACCAGGCTCTGGTGGCATTGCTGTGAGCACCTGGGGTGGGGGTAGGGGTGCGGTGGGGCTGGTCCAGCTGCCTCCGGGGGAAGGGGGCCCAGAACTGGTCAGCTCTGAAGAGGGGACGCTGAGCACCCACCGCAGTGGAGACCACTGAGCACACGGTGCCTTGTGCTAAGGAGGGAGAACTAGGGACATGGGGCCAAGGAACCCACAAGCCAAGAGCCCCTCAAGGCAAGAGCCCCTTGAGGCAAAGCGCCCAGGCTCTTCCTGCCCTTCTTGGACCTCAGTTTCCCTGTCTGCATGTCAGGGAGGGTACAGCGACACCCTAGTTCTAGAAGCTGCTGCCTTCCTTGGCTCATGGCCCCTCCATCTTCAAAGCCAGCAGCATAGCATGCTCCGGGTCTCGGTCTGACCCTGAGCCTCGTTGCCTCCCTCTTATAGAGAAGGGCCTTTGTGATTGCACTGGACCCACCTGGGTTATCCAGGATAACAATCTCCCTGTTCTTAATTTACTCACATCTACAAAGTCCCCTTTGCCATGAAGGTAGCATATTCATAGGTGAAGGAGATTAAGATGCGGATATCTTTGGGGGCTACCGTTCTGCCCACCAGGGGAAGCTAGTCTTGAGAATATGTGGGGAAAGAGTTCTGGCCAGAGAGAACAGCCAGTGCAAAGGTCCTGAGGCAGATACATGCCTGGTGTGTTCACACAGGGAGGCGAGGGTGACTGCAGTGGAGGAGCAGAGAAGAGCGGTCCGATGTGAAGCAAAGCTGGGAAGATTACAGAGGGCCTATGCGTCTCATAAGGACTCAGAGATGGACTCTGAGGGGAGGGAAGCCGTGGAGGATCTGAACAGACTGACACCAATTAACATTTACGATGGACCTGGGTGCTGAGTCTAGACGGGAGCTAGGAGAGCAGCTAGGAGGCGGGGCCAGAGCCTGGGGCAGGCCAGGGGGTGGCGGCCAGCCCAGGAGGGGTGAGACAGGTCTGGGTTCTGGAAGGAGCCCCAGCAGCACTTCCTGGCACACTCTGTGGGGATGGGGCTTGGGTTGATCTGTGGTGGGGGTGGGGATGTGTTGTCATACATTGAGATGGGGAGCTGGGGAAGGAGCAGGCTTGGGATTGGGGGTGCCCTGCGGAGGTGTGGGAAGGTGGAGGAAGAATGAGTCTGGGGGTCAGGAGAGGGCACCGGGCAGTGACGGTCAATCAGAGTCTTTGGCTTGGGTACTGTGTTTGAAGCCAGGAGTCTGGATGACACCCCCCAGGGAGTGGGTGCAGAAGCGGAGACGGCAGGACCCCTGTTTGGGGTCTGGGACTGGGGAGGAACCACCAGCCATGCAGGAGGAGCGGTTGTCTGGGAGCCACACAGTGTCAAGGAGAGGTGAGGGACCACATCATGTGCTGCCGATAACCAGGGTCCGTGAGCACTGGAAGGTGACAGAGTCCAATGGACTCAGGAAGCTGGTCACCACTGGAGTCTTGGACAAGAACCTGACAGATGGCTCAGGAGAGCGTGGGAGAGGACTTGGGGACAGTAAGCAGTGACTCCTCCTGGAGTTTAGCCGTGAAGCAGAAAACAGTGCCACAGCCAGAGGGGCCATGGCCCAGAGGAGTGTGCGCGTCTGTGTCGTTCATGTTTTAAGATCAGGATGTTTTAGGATAACAGTGCATTGGAAAGACTGGCACAGGGCTTGGCTGCAGGGGGCAGGGGGAGAGGGGCCCCCATAGGTGCAGTGGTGTTCCTGAGTCCCCAAGAAGAGTGGGGCCTAGGTCACAGTGGGACCCTGCTGGCCCCAGGGTCAGAGTGGTGGTTTGGGCAGCGCTGGGGGCGGGGTGGGGGAAGGAGGGAGGCTGAAAAGAAGTGGTTGGGGGCTGGGGAGAGGGGAGAGGCAGGAGAGCCAGACAGCAGGCAGGGGCCTAGTAGGGACAGGGGATTCCCCATCTGGAACTCAGGGCGAGTTTGAGTTTTCCTCTAGGTGTTCTGGGGTGGGGGACGGGGAGTGCAGGCTTCAGGAGGGTGGACACTAGAGGCCTGAGAGAGGGTGTGAAAACAAGACGCCAAGGGACGTGAAGGTGAGTTCAAGGGCGTGACTGGGACCTGGGGCTCCAGCCAGGAGAGGACAAGCCTGTTAGGTGTGAGGGAGCTGGGGGCCCAGCAGGGTTGGAGGGAGCGAGCTGCACAGGCAGGAGGTGGAGGCAGAGTGGGATCGGGGCAGGCACGGTCTGGGGAGCGACCATGCAGTGGGGACCAACAAGGCAGGGGTGACGGAGGGTGGGGGAAGGATCATGACACTGAAGTAACAAGTAGTGGACGCAGGGGCCAGGGTGGGAGAGCGAGCCTGTGAGCCAGGAGCCCACATTTCCAGGAATGAGGGGACGCCCACAGCGGGCGGGGACTGAAGGAGAAGGGTCTGTAAGTGGTGGGGTGCGCATCTCCAGGATTGAGGCAGATGCCCAGCAGGGGGCGCTGGGCCCTCGGAGGACGAGAGGCGCGGGGCAGGAGCCTGGGACCTTTTGCATCCCCAGCAAGTTCCCGGGAACTGGGGTCTGGTCTAGGGCGCCCTGGGACTCCGCTGAGTGGAGGGTCCAGGGTCCCACCAGAATGAGTCACTAGGACACACAGCGGCCAGCCCCCGTGAGCCCCCAGGGACAGGAGGGCATCAGGAGTGGCCTGGGCTTACACAATTACAGGAACCAAATATCAGTAACAACATTCAGGTTCGTTATGTGAGCTTCTAAGGGCACAAACAGGGCCCTTAGACAAACCGGGATGCTGGTGGGTCCCGGGAAGGTTAATTTGGGCAGGGACAGAACTGCCAGTGCTCACCACCCACCAGCACCCAGGGACTAGGTGGGCTGCACATGGATGGGGGAGGGGCTGAAGCCTGGGCAGGGATGCTAGGGAGCATGTGGGGGGAGCAGCCACAGCTCTGAGCTCCCTACTCAGTTCTCTAACGTAACCTGGATCATGTCCCCCAGGTCCCTGCGTCCCTTCTAGTGATGTATCAAGTGTCTGTGTGTGTCCTGCCCTGGGCAGAAAGGGCTTGGGAAGGGGGTCACCTGCAGCACATTCTGCTGGGGTGGGCTGGTGGGCCTGGGGCGACAGCAAGCTGACTGGTTGGTCTGGGGCTGGCTCCGGTGGCCCCCCACCACGACCCCAGGCCCAGGGCGAAGCCAGGGCAGGGAAGGGGGTCTCTGGGCAAGCCCCAGCTGCCTGCAGGGGGTTGGGAAGGGCTGTGGAGACCTGCTGCTGCCCCCCCTCCCTCCCAGCCTTCCAGGCATCCTGAGGAGTCCTGCCTTCGCACCTCCGCCCCTGCTGTTCTGAGACCCAGACTGCTCTCCCCACCCCACTTCTGCAAGGCCTTCTGACTCCAGCACCGGAAGGCAGCGGTGGCTCTGATGCACCTCTTGGGGAAGTCCACTGGCCATGATGGCCCCAGGTGAAGGGAAGTTTATTTAAACGGGGGGGGGGCCCCACCCGCACCCCTCCCACCTCCCAGACCTGGCTCAGGGCCTGCCGCCTGGCAGCACGGAAGCCCGTGGGGGTGGGGAGCACCGGTGTGGCAGTTTAACTTCTGATTCTGAAAGCCCACAGATGACGGGCACTTCGGGAGGGGCGGGGCAGGGCAGGGGGTGGGGGAGGGGAAGTGCAGCCAGCCACTAGCCACCACACTGCTCGGGTCATGCTGCTTGGGTCATCTCCCTATCTGTGATCTGTGACTTATCTCCTGGGGGGAGGGCCTGGTCCTCATACCCCAGAGGGCAGCCCATGGAAGAAATCAGGCTGCTGGTTCCCGTAAGGCCCCCTCCGGGCCCCGCTTCCCCTTCTGGGGAGTAAGAAGTTCCTCCTCCCTCAGCTTCTCCTTGAGAAGAGGGAAGGCCTGGGCCGTGTCCTCTGTGCCGCCTCCGAGACCCAGAGCCCTGGCCTCAGACTAACGCCAAGGCTATGGGAGGGCCTGGACCAGCCCTGCTGCAGACTCCACCTGCCCCCACCAGGGGCTGCACAGACACACCTGTGCCCCAGGGCCCCACCAGCTCTGGGTAGGCTGATGCCAGCTGCCAGAGCAGGGCCAGAGCCCTGGGTCTATACTCAGGACACAGCAGGAGGCTTCTCTGACTCACCCATGCAGGAAGGAGGCCCGCGGTCTATGCCCGCAGGTGGCAGCAGCCCCACTGAGACTGCCTCCCCCAACCTGAGCATCTGTTTCCTCCGCTTCCTTGTCCGTGGCATGGCTTCTGCAGCATCAGGGCGGATGTGGCACCGAAGGGTTGCCCCCCAAGACAGGGACCGGGCTGTGGTGGTGAGGGTTCCTCCTTCCCTCCCTGTGTCCCCGTCACTGCCCACAGCCCTGGGGCAGCTGCTCCTTGGCCTTTGGAAGCCACACTCTGCTAACTCAGGGCTACACAAGGCCAAGGTAGAATCAGGCCCCAGCCAGTGGCCCCCAGGCCAGAGCAGTCACCAGCAAGGGTTGTGAGAAATGGGGACCTCCTTGGCCACTCCCTCCATTTGGGGGTGCTGAGTATGGGAGCATGTATCCAGGGGGGATGGGACCGGCATCCATCTCCAGCAGGTCAGGGGTGGGGAAAGGAAGCACTTTGCAAATGGTTTTTATTCTGATGTGTTGAGAAGGCTAAGCTTGGAGCAGAGTGGGGAGCTGGGAGCTCTGGGAGCCTGGAGCTAAGTAACAGAGACAGCGGGGGCTGAGAAAGAGGGCATGAGTGTGGTCCGTCTGCTGGGGACCAGGGAGGGAATTCCCAGCTGAGGCTGGACCAGCCCCTGCCCACTCCAGCCACCCTTCACTGGATGTGAGGAAGAAAGGGCATCAGGGAGTTGCTTTTTGTAGAAAACAAGGGCAGCTTAAATCCTGACCTAGCCTCCTAGGCCCTGTCTGTGTGGGGTGGGGGCCCAGCTCCCAGATTAGTGCAGGTATTGAGTCCCTTCACAGAGGAGGTCAAGTGTGAGGTCCCCAGCACGAGGGGTGGCCAGGATCCAAGGCCCACCATGCCTCTGAGTTGGAGCTGTCTACCACCTTGCTGGCCCAGTTCAGTTGCCTGACCTTGGCTGTCACCTGCTCTGAGCCTCCATTTGCCCATCTGCCAAATGGGACAAGGATGTGGCCTCTGGGTTGGTGATGGGGATGAAGCTGGGTAAGGAGGTTCCCAGGCTGGGCCGGGACCACACAGCTGCAGAGCCTGCAGGCTGCTCCTCTGGATGAAGGCTCTGGCCACCCCACCACCACCGAGGTCCACAGGGCCCAGGGCTGACCATCCCTCTACTTGCACCTGCAAGTAGTTATTCTGATTCCCCTCTTTCCCCCTCCCCCACATGAGCTCAAACAAGCCCCCAGTCCCCTGGGACCACCTCAGACAGACCTGCACCTCACGCCCAACTTCCAGCAAGACCAGGACCCCCTGGGGTTGCCCCAAAGAGCACCTTTATTCACAGCAAAGAACGTCACCATAGCAACCACACTTCAATTCCCTGAGAACTTTCCCATTATCTGTCGCTTTCCTAGCTAGGTCTTTGCAGAAGGAAAAACAGAAGACAAACCCCGCTCCCCCCGCCGCCACCCCCACCCCTACCCCCGGGCCAGGGGCACCAAGCTGGGCCTGCGGGAGATAGGTATGCCGCACGCACGAGGCGGGGAGGTGGGTCCAGAGCCCAGGACACATAAATACACGGAGTGCTAGACATTTCCATCAGGTTTAACAAAGATATCGCTTGTTTGGCTTCTGCTTTTTCTGATCCACAGAAAAGATAAAATAACACCTGCCGCCCCCCCAAACAACAAAAGCACCCAAATTTTACCCACCCCATTAGAAAAACAAGCACAGTAAAAAAATACTGTCACAATATTTACAGACACACCCACTATGGGCGACTTTCTCTCTGCTTCAAAGAGGAGATAATATGCTCAGCTCTGTCCCCCTACCATGGGGAGACAAAGAGAAGACCTCAGAGAGGGCTGGAGAGCCTCCCGCTCCAGGGTGGTCGGGAGGGTAGCCCCTGTTCCCCGAGCCACACGGCCACGAGGGTCTTAACGGGGTGCCTAGACGCAGGTGCCAGCCGCTGCTCCTCTGCGTCCCGGGGCCAGAGCTGACCAGGAAAAGGGGGCTCAGGACACCCCGACAAAACCCAGCTTCCTTGTGTGAAGCAGCACTCAGTTGTCCTGGGGGCTCTGAGGCCAGGGCCCAGCTCGGAGCCTGCACTTGACAGGAAGGAAAAGGCACCTGCATGTCCATGCACGCAGCCCCCATTCCCTTGTTGCCCAAAGACCCCGAAGTGATCATGAAACTACCCTCAGAGCGACCTCCGCTGCGCACACGTCCTTCCGGTGTGGGGCTCTGACCCGAGGCACATGGGAACGCAGACAAGTGGCACTGATGCCCACTCCCTGGCAGAACAGAACCGCTCAGCAGCCTGCTCCACGGACATAGGCACAGCCCTGGGAAGCCTCGAATGCCAAGGCCAGGGTGGCACAACATGAGTCCTCAGGCCCTTTGGATACCAGGGGCACCCGAGGACAGGGTCTCAGCCATGGCTGCTAGAAGACGGTGGTGTGAGGACACCAGGGTGTGTCGGGGTACAGGTGGCAGTGGATGGAGCGGAACCTGTGGGGACAGAGGAGGGGGCCGGTCTGTGTGGGGAGGGCGTGCCCAGCACCCATCTTTGGACCCACAGCCCCAGGAGAGGCCCCGAGGCCCAAGCGAGGCTTGGGGGGCCCTCTTTGTAGTCCTGTCTCATGCGGCTTATCCACCAGCTCCACACACTACCTGAGTCCCAGCCGCCTCTCCCTGGGCCTCAGTTTCCTCACCTGGATGGGTCAGCCTCCACCGAGAAGGGCCCCTTCACGTGGATGGCGTTGCGCTTATTTTCAAACATGCCATAGCTGAGGGTCACCTGTGGGGAGAGGGGCAGCGTGAAGCCGGGAGTGGCCCTGGCACCCTCCCCTCCATGACTTTGTCCACGGCTGGCCATGTGGCTGTGAGCCACGGAGCAGCCTTGCCTTCCGGCCTCCCTTGGACCAAGAAGGGAGGTCTGTGAGTCACGCTGGCTCCACACAAGCTGTGAATGAGGTCCAGAATGGAGGCAGGGCCAGCAGCATCCTCTGCTGCTGTATCAGAAGCCCCACGTAGCACAGAGGAGGGGTGTGGCCCAGGGTCTGGGTGCCAATGGCAAGGCCCTTCCTACCTTCCTGAGTTACCACAGTGACTCCACCCAGCGCCCCCTCTTCCCTCAGCACTCCCTTCCCCTTCCCCGCTTGCCCCTTCCTGCTTGCCCCTTCCCTCTCGCCCAGCAAGGGGTGGGGGGAGGGGGCGAGGAGGCACACCTGCTCGTGGAGCTCCGAGGCCGGCACCTGCTGCAGGTTCTCCAGGTGGGAATGGAAGAGCCCACTGCGGATGAGTGGCACCCCCAGGAGGGCCTCCACGATGTAGCCGATGGTGCAGTCGTCCGGCAGGCGGATGCGCTCAGCCGTGTTCATGAAGTGGCCCCTGCTGCAGAAAGGGAGGACAGGAGGACAGGGATGAGCAGAGGCAGGCTCCTGCCAAGATGAAGCAGCCAGGCCCCAAAGGGAGGTGGATGCTCCCCTGTGGGGCAGGGTACAGACCCCATCTGCCTTTCTCACGGGCTCACTGGCCAGGGCCCCAACCCAGAACCCTCCTCTGCACCAGCGTGATAATTCTGAGTCCGGGAGGTGACTGGGTACAGAAGGCAGTCCTCACACCAGCCCCTGGGCCTCATAGGCAGGAGGGGACCAGTGGTGGGGAACATGACTGAGCCTGCCTGTGCACGTGAGGTTGGGTCACCCGCTGCTGAGATCAACCAAAGGGAGCCAGGGTCCACAGTGGGGGGACTTTAGAACCGAGGGCAGCCTCACCTGTGTCCCCAGGGCACTCACCTGGCCCATGGGCTCATCTTCAGGGCCAGGCCACGGCTGATGCAGAAGCCAGCCCCCCCGGTGGCAAACCAGAAGTGGACAGGGCGCTGCAGGAGGGAACGCAGGGGACAGTGAGACCCTCGGCCCAGGCGGCAGGGACACCTCTGGCCTCCTCCCCGCTCAACTCAGGCGTGTGGGGGGGGGGGGTCACTCACCATCTGGTTCTCGCTGACCCTCTCAGTGGCCTGGATGGGCCTGTCCAGGCTGGGCTTGCCGATGTAAACATCCTGGGTGTGCGGGTAGCTGGCCAGCAGCCGCAGCAAAGCCCTAACATTGACGTAGTTGTCATCATCCACATGACAGAACCACCTGGGGAGAAGCAGGGCCAGTAAGAGAGGAAGAGAGACCTTCACAGGGTGAGGACCTCCTGACGAGAACCTGAAGGGAATGAATGGGGCCAGCACTCACTTCCTCCCAGATCCCATGAAGTGGTCGAACTCCACGGCCATCTTGCAGGACAGGGCCTGGCGGCTGTGGGCCGCGGAGCAGTTGGTGTTGACCACATTGCCTGTGAACAAGGGAGGGGCTGTAAAGGGTCCGAGCTGGCTCAGAGACGACTACAGGTCCGGGGGCAGCAGAGCCCGCAGAGTTGGGGACTGTCTCAGGGCACCCCAGTGCAAGCTGTACCCTGCAGCAGGACCTCCTCCCTCTGCCCCACTGGCTCACACAGGGATCCCCGCCTGGTGATCACGCTCCCCCCCCCCCCAGCCCAACCCCCTCCAGAACAACCCTGTTCCACCCCTGCCCATTCAGGCGGCTTTTTCCCAGCACCGGCCACCTGTTGCCGCCACATCAGCTCAAAGGGCCCAGGGAGCTGAAAGGGGCCTCATTTGCATGAGAATTGGGTGCCCCCCCCCAGTGGTGGGGCGGAGCATTGAGCAAACCCGTTGAGTAAACTGCCCTCCCAGGCCTGTGGCCTCTGCGACCTCTCTGGAGGGGAGGGAAGCGTTCCTCCCAGGAGTGGAGCTCCCCCCCACGCCTCCCCAAGTCCCCAGCTCACCGGTGCGCCTGGCTAGAACTTCATCCTCCCCGTCGGTGAAAATGAATGTCTGGAAGGAGAAATGCAGTCTTGAGTAAACAGCTGTGTCCCCCGCTCCCTGGGGCCACTGTGGGGGTAGGGGGTCCAGGACTGGGCACCCTGGGGCTTCGGCAGCTAGAGCTCAGGCATACCCACTCTTTGCCCATCTGTGGGCCTCAGTTTCCCCAGGTGCACAGAGTAGATCTCAAGTGCCCACCCTAAGTAGAAGGAGGGCTGGGACTAGTGCAGATCACCCCCCCGTCGACAGCTGGGCCCAAGGTCGCTCAGCGGCTGTGCCTGCACGAGCCAGGTGGGTCACCCCGCCCACCCGCCAGGTAACCAGCTCCCCGCACACCTGGCGGGGCACACACCCTTATTGACACAGCGCCTACCCTGTGGGAGGGGGCAGAGGGCCGTGGTGGGGGGGACAAGCAGAGGAGGTCGGCTTGGGAAGCCAAGTCTCAATCAGTCAGGGACAAAGGCCTCTGCTGGATGGCCGCCAAGCCCTGGCGGACAAAGGGCCCGGAGGGAGGATGAATCACCAGGCATTGTCCGCCAGCTTTGTCCTGGGCCGCGCGGCGAGGGGCGCTGGGCTGGCCTTAACTCGGCAGCATTAAGCGGGAGTGGCCACGCTGCCCATTACCATACAGCTGGCCTGTTTAACTGGGCCGGGCTGGGCAAGAGGTCCAACAAGCAGGGGTGCGGCCACAGCACTGTGGTCCTCTGGGCTCCCCCCCGCACCAGACAGTGTGACTAGCGGGGCAGGTCACCTCTGAACCAAAGAAGCCACCGCTGTTCTCCGGAGCCTCCTATGGTCAGCAGGGTTGAGGCAGGAAACCGCCTGTGCCCCAGCCCACCGACCAGCACCCCCCGCACCATGGGGCCTGGCACCCCGCCCCCCGCGGCTCCGGCAAGGAAATCCAGGCTGGCAGACGGGCCTTGCCCAAGGCCACATCAAGGCTCCACCTGTGCCAGCACAGGGCCACCCCTGCCAGGATTGCTCTGAGGAAGGGGGCGGGCAGTGGGGCGGGGCCAGGAGCTGCCGGCACCCGCCTGGGCCCGTCAGCACACGGGGAGGAATGTTCCTGCCTCCGCCTGGCCCGCCCAGCGCGTGCCGCCCCGCGCACCCGGGCATGGCTGAGCGCAAAGCCTGGGGCCTGCGGGGGAGGGGTGCTCTGAGCACAGGCAGTGGGAGAACCCCACCTCCATGCCCACCAGACCTCAGTTTCCTTTTATGAGTCCAAGGGAGGCTCTAGCACGTGGAGGTCAGAGCACAGGACACACCCAGGAACAGGGGCGGGGGGAGACCCATCTGGGGCCTCACCCTCTTTTGGATGGCCCCAGCTCCTTGCCCAGCCTGACTTCAGACCTGAGTGTACTCAGGTGAGGCCAGGGACTGCTGAGCACTGGCTCAGAGCTGGGGAGGGAGCAGGCCCCGGGTCCATCCCGTCCTCTCCACGTGCACACCCCCTCCTTGCAGGGCCCTGCAGGCACCCCAAGGCGGCCCGCACGCACAGACTCGCACCCAGCCCCCCACCCACTCCCCAGCATCTCAGCCCAGGAATGCTGTGGGAGGCCCAGGCCGGCCAGTGCAGACGCGCCACTGCCGTCGCTGGATTAAAAGGAAAATGCTTTCTTAATGAGATCAAGCGAGGCCTGTTCTCCCGCGCTTTGGTGGTGCCCTAAAAACCCAGCCCAAGGCTACGGAGATTAAAGTCACCTTTGTTCAGCTGTGGGGAAAGCAAGGCGGGCGGCCTGAAAAGGAGTTCAGGGAAGGGGGGGCTGTGGTAGGGTGGTGAAGGTGCCAGGCCTCCAGTCTCCCTGCATCAGAGCACCCAGCAGAGGAGGGGACGGACAGGCTGCCTGGTGGCTCTGAGCCTCATTTTCTCTCTCTGTTAAATGGGCATAACGGGAGCTCATGTGTACCCAGAGCAAAGTGCCAAGACACATTCCTTTCTTTGGTCTCCCTAACCGCCCTGAGAGGTGGACACTGTTACTACCTGAGTGTACAGTGGGGAAACTGAGGACCAGGGAGGGCCAGCCTCTGGCCTGTGGTCGTACCCTGGGGCAGAGTTGGTGCTCATCTAGCCCAAAGTACCTCCCAGGGACTGAGACGACCCCCTCCAAGGCCTCCTCCCTGCTTCCTTATAATGGGGCTGCAGGAGGAGGAGCGGGGCAGCAGGGGCGGCAGGGCGCGGGCGGGGGGACACCCACAGGAAGCGGCATTGTTCCTGGAGCTGCGATTCAAAGAAACACAGGATGCCAAGCTCTCCCCCAGCAATTGTGGCTGCTGTGGTGGCAGCCGCTGCAGCCTGGCCCGCTCCTCAGAGGGGTGGGGGAGGAACGTAGGGGCCAAAGGTCCAGCCCCTCATCCTGGACTTCAGGGACTGTCACAGTGTGGCCCCTGCTGACTGCCACCCCGCCCTCAGCCCCTGCTATCACTCCAATTGCAGGAAGTGTTTTACACATACCCCATACTTGTGCTCTCAGTATAGCTCAAATGGCACCTCCTCCAGGAAGTCTCCCAACCCTCCATGTGAGTCAGATGCCCACTCTCAGCTTGCACGGCCTTTCTGGGTTTCCACCGCCAAAGCCCTGACTTCTTTGGGTCCACATCAAACTGGTCTGAGTCACCATGCACAGGCCTGGCAGAGGAGGACCCTCAGCTGTGACAGTTTTGAGGACCCCCTCCCCCACACAGGGAAGTGAGGAGCCCTTGCTTGCTGTGACACAGGAACTGATGCCCAGGCTGGGGTGGGGGGCAGATTCAGCCTGTCCTGCTTGGGGTCAGCCATCGAGGAGGAAACCTGAGTGGCCCTTCAACAGGGATGTCAGGGCCCACCCAGGGCAGTGATAGCCCGAGGATCTGTTGGGCTCATTCCCTCTGCCTCCAGGTTTGGCCGGCCCTATTACAACATCATGCTGGAAGGACAACACTTGCCCCATTTCAGAGATAAGGAGACTGAGGATCAAAAAGACCCTAGGTCTTGCCCAGGATCACCCACCCTGGCTGGGACTGGTACCTGAGACCCCCTGACCATGTCCCCTCTGCCGGATAAAGTCCCCAAAGTCCAAGCTGAGCAGAGCTCAGAGCTGGGAGCAGCCCAGGGGAAGCTGAATGCCTACCAAAGGTCACACAGCAGGAAGGCAGAGTTGGGGGGGGCAGGGTGCCTGGCACAGGGATGGTGCCCCATGAGGGCTGTCAGTCAGGGATGGGGGGGCCCCACAGGCCCCCTCATCGCCAGGCAACCTGAGTGGCCAGCGCGCCAGCGGCGGTTCCCATGGAGTGCATAGCTGCACACAAGAGGCCGGGTGCCTTTCTCCGTTGGAGAAAGGGGCTTTGTTACCTTGCCCAAGCGGCCGGCGTGAGAGCCGCTGGGGCGCTGGGAATCCTAACGGCCCCGGCGGCCAAACAAAACCCACGGCCCCCGCCGCCCCCTCCCACCGGCCCGCTGAGCCCCTGGGAACGGGGATGCTGCTCTCCCAGAAGGCTGCCACGGGACTCCCAGGGCTCCCTCACTACGCTGGGACCAGAGAGGACCCCATCATGACCTCACCAGAACCCTGCCCCCAAACAGGCTAAGCCACCCCAGAAGATCCCAAGCCTTGAGCTTTAAACGGGGAGGAAGAGGTGTGGGGTCTTCTCTCAGCCCTCATCACAGGCAAGGGTCCCTCAACTTTACCCGAAATGCCCACTTTGTCCCTTGAACCTCCCAGCCCAGGGGCATTCCCCCACTGCCCCTCCTGTCGTCCAGCAGGGCCCACAGTGCCCTGTCCCGCCCCAACCCAACCGTCCCGCTGCAGCCTCGAGGGAGATTTTCAAAGTGGGGTGTGTCTTTATGTGTGGAGGGAGCCAACGTTCAATGAGGGTGCAGTTAAGCACAAGGTTCCAGGCTCCAAAGATTCCTATGCTGTGGGGAAAGGGTCTCCGCACAGGCCCCCAAAACGCAGGGCTGGCTCTCTTTCGAGATACGGTCTCCAGGAATCACCTATGCCCACCTGAACTCCAGATTATCTTTAGCAAGGTCTTGTCTTCCATCCACAGCAAAGACTCTCCCAGCCCTCTGACTCCTCCATCACTAATGAGAGTCTTCCTTTCCAGGGAAAGGTGAGCCCAGGGTGGATGCCCCACTAAAAATCTGCCTTGGGGTGGTCTGGAGACAACAGCACCTTATAATGCACTCCAATGTTTGGCGGAGGAGGGAAGAAGCATTACAGGGCACCAAGCCCTAGCACTGGAAGCTGATGCAGGGTCAACATACACCATCCACCACACTCTGGAGGTTGGATGGAGTCGGGTCCCCATCTGACACTTCACAACTCTATGGGGAGAGGGACCCCATCAAGCAGACTGGTCTGGAAAAGGATGGATTGCTGTCACTGCACCAGATACTCCAGGTGGCTGGCCAGAAGCGAAGCCTGGCGCCCATCGGATACTGCCCAAGCGGCTGCCCAAGACGGCACCCTTACCCCGCCCAGGTGTGGGGGCTCACCATCTGCTTGTGGCGTGAGATCCAGGTCTCCAGCAGCAGGTCGAGGCGCGCGCGGTGAAACTTTCTGGTGGTCTTGACCGCGATGAAGACGTCGTGGGGCGCCAGTGGCTCCGCTTGGAGCTGCGGGTGGCCGTCGGCGGGGCGGAGGGCGCCCCCGGGCGGCGGGCCCGCGGCTCTGCGTGCACGGGTCAGGAGGCTGAAGTACTCGGACAAACTGTGCACCTCGCGGGCGAGCGCGACGGGCGCCGCCGCCGCCTCCAGCCCGGGAGCCGGGGCCCTCCCCACGGGGCCCGCCAGACTGCGCAGTGCTCGCCGGCCGCGCTCCGCGGGCACCGGGGGCGGGGGCGGGTCCGCGGTGAGCACCAGCAGGCAGGCGAGCAGCGCGCCCGCCAGTGCCAGCAGCAGGCGACGGCCGCAGCGCTTGAGCATCGTGGGGTGGCGGCCCCCGGTGCGCCCTGCCCGGTGCGCCCCGCCCTTCCCCACAGACCAGCGCCGGGAATCCCAGGTCCCGCGGCGCGTTCGGCTGTCCACTACCCGCGCCGCACGTTCTTAAACCTCCCCGCCGGACCCCGCCTTCATGGGGGCGTGGCCTTCATCGACGCCCCACCCCTGCCGCGCGCTCACTGGCTCGCGGGCCCAGGGGCGGGCCCCCGCGCGGGTCGCCCCCCGAGACGCTCAGCGCCCACGTGGGGCCGCGGCGGGGGTCTGGGAAAGGCCCGGCAGGCGCCTCCGCCCCCACCCCTTGTGAGCACGTGCACGCCCCGCCCCGTCCGGGTCCTCCTCCGTGGGCAGCCGAGGGGCGTGGGGTTTGGGGCCGGGCCTGCCCCGGTGGCCCCGAAGGGAAAACCAGGCTGGCCAGCGCCGGCGGGGGCTGCACCGGGCGTCTGGCACGCGGAAGGGCGCGCCCTAAATGTGGTGTCCCGGGTTCTGGCACAGGGGCTTCGGGCGCAGTAGTCCCGCCGGAGATGTCCTTATTTCCTCCCTGTGCGCTGCCCCTCCCGGAGCCCGGCGTCCTTCGCTTGAGGTGGTGCGTGCCGAGACTATGGGGCGGCGTCTAGGTGGACTGAGGTCCACGTCCGCTCGTGGACAGACCTTTCGGTCTAAGGCAGCGGTTATTAGTCCCGAGGAGGGGCCTAGCCGTCTGAGCCGCAGGTGGGGACACGAGGTTGCAGGGCGAAAGCACCTGTATCGAATTCCACCTTCGCTCCACTCCCCACCCCCCCCACCCCGAGCTAATTTACTCAAACCCTGGCACAACGGCGCGGGTGGTGGGGTTGTTCCCCAAATCCTCCAGGCGCCCTGTGGCGAGAAGGAACTGAGATCGCCCCTCCCCTCGAGGGATGAAAGGCTACTTTTTGTCCCATTTGGTACCCCTCGGCTCTGGCCAGATGTGGCCCAGCTGTGCCCCCGCCCCGCCTCCGCGGCACACGGCGGCCCCCACCCCCAGGCCTTCCCACGGGTCGGGTCGGCCCACCGCACGAGCAGGGGCGGTAGGAATGCGCGCCAGCAGCTCGGGTAGACGGTGAGGGGGCCCGGAAGTAGCCAAGGGGCCCCCTGGCGCGGGGTCTGGGTCCGAACTCACTGCCCTCAGCATCTTCCGGAAGCGCAGCTGGGGGCGGCTCTCCGCTTGGCTGCGCCTCCTTTCCCGTCCCTCCTCGGCTCTGACATCCCCTCCTCGGGAGGCCCTCTGCTACCACTGGGGCCACAGGTCCCTGCCCACTCGGGTCACAGCTCACTCTGCCCATTGGCCAGTTACTTCCGCAGAGCTTAGCACTATGGGTGACAGTGCCTCTTCCTCCACCTGAATGTCCCTGCAGGAGAACAGGGCACAGGGGGAGCGCTATGAGGGTTTACTGGGTAAATGGCCTCACACCAGGCTCCCGCCGCAGGGGGCTGTGGCCCATTTGCTCTTAGAGCTCTGGGGCCCTAACCCTGGCCCCTGTGTCATGGCATGATGGGAGATAGTGAGATAGTGGTTCCCAGGCCTCTTCCTGCCCCCCCCCCAGGTAATTAGCAGGCGCCACCTCAGGCAGGCAGATGCCTGAGCAGATGGTGCTGGCTGTGCCCAAGTGACAAGTCTCCTGTGGTGTCACCTCCTGCCATAAACCCCGCCCCCTTCAGCCAGAGCCCAGCCTTGGAGCCTCTAGGCATCTGGAGCAGTGGGGGTGGGCAGGGGAGAAAAGGATACATGGGCTGCCCCCAAACAGTCCCCTGAGTCGCAGCCCAGGTCTGCAGTCCCTGTGCCCTTGCCCCACCACCAGCTCCCATCGATCCCACATCTGGGCTCTTTTGAGAAGGAGCCCCCTTCACTGCCTTCCTCTCTCCTCAGGTCGTCTTGGGCAGTCTCCACCCTGGTCTTCCTTCCCTAACTGCTCTGTGTATTCTCCACTCAGTGACCAGATAGATCTAATTATTCCCCCCCCCACGCTTCCCTCCCCCCCACACAAATAGATCAGAATCTTCCACTACTCTCCATTGCCTCTGAGTTCAAATCCTGGCCTGCTACCTACTCCCCTTAGAACTTATTCCCAGCTCCGTTTCTGGCTGCGTCCTGCAATCCTCCCCATTCTCCAATAGCCCAAGCATCACTGAACCCCCAAATCTTTGTAGAGCCGTGCCCGGGATTCAGGTCAGTGGCATCCACACTTAAGGGGACCCACTAGACACTGAGTGTTCTGCAAGAGCAAAACAGCACACAGCCATGTCTGCCCACGCTCCCCCTAGACAAGGTCCTGTGACAAATCCCTCTGTGGCCCCCAGCCAAGGAGATGGCACTGCCTGTCCCGCACCCCAGAGCACCCCTGCTTTCTCTGACTTGTGCCCTTTGACATACCAGACAGCAGGAGCAGTGAACCCATTGTACAGAATGCAAGGTGCTCAGCGGGCCGCTGCATCACACGCGGGGAGGCAGGAGGGGGAGTTACTGAGCGGGGCTGGTCCAGCCTGGCAGGGGCCAGAGGGGGTTTCCTGTGCCTCTCCGCAGCCAAGCTGGGGAGTGGGGTCCCTGGGTGCAGCCGCCTGGCGGGGAACAGCAGGACAGAGCCTTATAGCATTCTTGTAGGGGCCGTGGGCTTTGGCAAGAGTGATTCAGTTTCTTTGCTGTCAGGAGAATGGAATTCCGTGGTGACTCCTCAAGGTCTGAAAACTGTAGGGGGGTGGCCCGGTTCGCTGCCCCTGCCCCCTTCCCCAGTCTGAGGTGTGCCCCTCCCTGCCCCTGCCTTGGGCCCAGAGGCTCCCACCAGGGACCCGGTGAGCCAAACAGCTTCGGGGGAAGGGGAGGTGCTCAGCTCAGGACAGGAAATGGGGAGTCCAGAGGACAGGGGGAGGGCTGACCAGGTTGCCAGGAAGCCTCTTGGGGCCTTCAGGTCCTGGGGGAGGGGGCTGGGAGTGGAGACTGGGCCAGGGGCCCTGCTGTGGGCACAAGCACAAACCCAGCCTGGGAATGGGGGTCTCCCTCTGGAGCCAGACAGCTGGCCTTGCAAACCCAGAGGGGCCCCTTCTCAGCCATAAGACTTACCCAGGATGGTCCTTCTCCGAACCTCAGTTTCTCCACCCATAACATGAGGATAACACTACCATCCGTGTTATAAGGTGCTCATGGGCCAAAGGTCAGACAAACAGGCAGCCTGGCTCTCTTGCCTGGGGACCTTGGGCCTAGGTGCCTCCTGGGCAGCTGACCTCCACTCAGCGTGGTGTCTCTGGCAGCCACTCGGCTGATGGCTTCAGAGCCGCCCATTGAAGTTGTGGAGAGGTGGCCAAGGAAAGGGGGCCCATGCTACCACAAAGCCCTGTGGGGCCCTACTCTGTCCCCACATCAGGCTCAGAGGCAGTACTGTGTCCCCACCTGAGCTCAGCCTCTCTCTGCCAGGGCTCAGCCTGGGGCCTCCCGCGGTTGGGGTCTGTCCTACCAGCTACTGGAAACCCCTTCCCCACAGGCTCCTGGAGACCTTGGGGCCGGCCTCCCCACAATTGTTTCTTTCCTGGGAAGATCCAAGAGACATATCGGGTGACCCATTAGCTCGCAGTAAGTCATTGGAGGCATGCCTGTTTGTGTCCCCGCACCAGGGAAGGCACTGTCCCAGCCCCACTGCGAGCTGGTGGCCAGAAGATGGAGCTGGGCTCATGAACGAACGGACACAGGGACTGCTGTGAGGGCATCAGAGCATAACTGGCAATGAGGGAGATTTCTAGATGCCAAGGTGCCCACGGGCTCCCTAACAGGCACTGAGCGTCATGATCATGGAAGCTTCTGGACAGAGAGTCCCGCTGGCAGGAAGGGAGGGTTGGCTCCCGAGCCTAGTGCAGCCGGCTCCACGGCAGGAGGGAGGGGGCACAATGGGCATCGACAGCTGATTCCCATTACTGTAGCTGGGGTGGGCGCTGCCCCCACGGGAAGAATAGACAGGCTACAGCTGTGAATAGAGCCCCCAGCCCAGCCTGGCCCGCCCACCCGCACACCAGCTCTGCCCGGAACCCCTCACTCGCAGGCCGCGCTTTGTGTGGTCTTGGGCCGGTTCCCTCCCTCTGTAGATCTGGGGATGTCACTTGATTTTGTAATAGGGATATGGCAGTGCCTTCCCTCCCCACCCACCCCTGCTGGTACTCTGCAGGCATAGGGCAACAGTGAGCCCTGGTGACATGGCCCATTGGCCTGAACTCTGGGGCCTGGAGTGGTCAGAGTGACCTGGTGACGTGGCCTAGGTGGCTGAGTAAGGCTTCTGGGGACACCCTTCAAGGCTGGCCGTGTCCCACCTCTTCCAGGTAGTCCTCCTCCAGCCTCTGAGGCACCCGCCCCCCGTCCTGGCCCTCACCACGTGAGATGGTAACTGCCCTTCCCCTGCCTGCCTCCCCAGCTAGCCGGGAGCCCTAGGAGGCCAGGGGCCGTGCTGAGTTCCTCACCGGTGCCTGCCACAAAGCAGGTGCTCGGGAAACACTGGCTGAACAGATGAAGAAGGGACAGGAGGGAGAGATGGATGGAAAGACAAAAAGACAAAGAGATGTGTGGATGACTGGGAAGGTGCCGGAATGTGGGCTACCTGAAGGCAGAAACACTGTGTCATTCGTAGCTGCTGTCCTCAGTGCTTAGAATGGTATGGGGCACGTTTTGGGTACTTTAGAAACATTTGCTGGATGATGGATGGATGGACAGATGGATAGATCGATGGATGCACAGATGGATAGATGGGGCAGATGCACGGATCGATGCTGATATACGGACACGCAGAGGCTCAGGAGGTGCCCCCTGCTGCTTCACCCCAAGCACCCAGCCCCAGGACATGTGGGTTTCAGGGTAAGGAGGGAGGCCTGGCATGGCTGCCCACTGCACCGTGAGCTGGCCCACCAGGGCCTGAGTGCAGAGCTGTGGAAGGGGGCAGGGGCTGACACCCATAGAAGTTGTTGGTGACCATACCCTGTGTGCCCACCCCGCACTGGGAGGGTTTCCAAAAGCCACCACAAGAAGGCTTCTAAAGGTCTCATTCAAGCTCTTGGTCTTGCAGATTGGACCTGGGG